ACAGGCTGATCAAAGGGACGTAGAATATGGCCACAGCACAGAGATGAGAGATACATGTGCTGAAGGCCTTTTTTCTCTCTTCTGGGGATGCAATGTCGAGAACTGAATGAATGATTAAGATGTAAGACAGCAGGATAAAGACGGAGTCAATTCCAAAAGTAGAGATGACTACAGTTAATCCAAATGCACTATTGACCCTGGTATCTGTGCAGGAGAGCTTCATTACATCAGGGTGAAAGCAGTAGGAGTGGTGGGGCACGTGGCTGCGGTAGAAGGACAGCCGTTTAAGAAGGACCACCATAAGGATTATTATTAGCGTCCCTCTGGTGATGATTGCTGCACCAATTTGTGCTATTTTAAGGTCAGTCAAGATGAATGAATATCTAAGAGGATTAGAAATGGCCACAAACCAGTCAAAGGCCATGGCCAATAGTACAGAAGATTCTATGACAGTAAACAAGTGATTGAAGAACATCTGAGATAAGCAAGCATCTAAGCTGATTTCCTGGGCATTGAGCCAGAATATTCCCAGCACTGTCACCAGGGTAGACTTACATAAACCCAAGTCAGAGGTGGACAATATGCAGAGGAAATAGTACATGGGCTCATGGAGGCTTGGGTCACTGAGGACTACAAACAATATCAAGGTATTCCCAGAGAGGGCAGTTAAATAGAGGCAGCAGATGGGGATGGAGACCCAGGCATGGGCCCATTCAAGTCCAGGGACCCCCATCAGGAGGAAAGTAGAGGAGGTGGAGTTATGAAAGATTGACATTATGGTCTTCAGAAGTAGAAGCCTTTAAGATCTTGATGCCCTGAAATAAAAATATATTTAGTTTTTTTTATTTTTTAATTAAAAAAATAGGCATTTACAGTTTATAATTTTTATATTCTTAGTCATCTTCTTGATTTATCCTTCAACTACATTAAGAGATCTTCTTGGCATATCCCCATGAAGAAAATACTTATTTTGTGTTAATCTTTGCTTAGCAAAGTTAATTGCTCATAAGTACATATTTATAATGTATTTGTCAATTGTTACACTGCATAGTTATCACTCTATGTTGTTTTAATCAACAAAGACTAGGATTTGTCTTAGGAGAATAATTGGCTGAGCCTTCATAGGAGTTGAGGAATAATAGTGCACAGCTAATAAATGAAATCGGAATAAAGGCCTGGTGATCTACTTCTGAAAATCAGCTAATGACAACCTTATGGATCACGGTGGTCTGATCTACAATGGATAATGGGGGTGGCTAAGGACATGGCAGCATTTTATTGAGTTATGCATGTGGTTGCCATGAATTGAGGGCAGACT